GCGGGGGCCCACCAGCATCCTGGGTGAGTGGAGGACATGGGGGGACATGGGGAGACATGGCGGGGGGAGCCTCATGGACCCCCAAAATCCTTCCTCCCTCCTGCCAACCCCCACCCACCCCAGGCACCTCACAGCTGCGACCAGGGGAGCCCGAGGGCTTTCGCATCCCCTTCAACCCCACAGGCACAGGGTGTGGGGCAGCCATGAGGAGCCTGGCTATCGGCCTCAGGTGAGGACAGGGGTGATGAGGGACACACAAGGACATGGAGGGACATAGGGGGATGGGGGGGCAGAAGGAGATGTGGGGGACTCGTTGGGATGGGAACATGGGGGATATGAGGGGAACAGAGGGACATGAGGGGATAAAGGGGGAACAAGGGGATATGGAGATATGGGGGGACATGGGGGAGATGTGGAGGGACATGGGGGGTCACACGCTGGGGGCAGAGGGAGACATGAGGTGACGCATGGGGACGGGGGCATGGGGGAATAAGGGAAGAGCAGGGAGATATGGGGAGAGAAGGAGGGGGAAAGAGGAACATGGGGATATGGGGGGTGCAGAGGGAGACATGAGGGTACCCATAGGGATAGGGGCATGAGGGGAATATGGGTACGTGAGGGCCAAGGTATCAGAGCTGGAGGGACAGGGACAGGATGGGGACAGGAATGGGAACAGGCGTTTCAGACATGGGGGTGCTGAGGACACAGGGTGGGGCATGAGGATGAGGACAGGAGGGGGGATCAGAGCAGGGGGGACAGGGGGGCACAGGGGACACAAGGGTCCCTGAGCAGATTGGAAGGGGACATGGAGGTGAAGGACAAGGTGGGATGGGGATGAGGGAAGATGGGAGGAACAGGGGGTGACAAGGGAGGACAGGGGGCCAGAGTGGAGATGGAGGGGAACAGGGAAGGAAAGGGGGGTGAAAAGGGGGAATGGCAGGGACAGGAGGTGCCCCCTCAGGTACCCCCACACCTGGGACCTGCCCATGCTGATCCGAGTGAGCCTCGTGCCCCCTCAGGTACCCCCACACACGGGACCTGCCCACGCTGATCCGAGTGAGCATCGAGAGCGGGCGCATGACCCACCACCACCCCACAGGTGGGTGCCATAGGGGGGGCGAAAGGGGACAAGGGAACACCAGACTCCCCCTGACCACCCCCCTCTTTGTCCCTGTCCCCTCAGGGTACCTAGGGGCGGTGGCAGTGGCGCTTTTCGGGTCACTGGGGGCACGGGGGGTGCCTCTCGAGCGCTGGGGGGCCGAGCTGCTGCGGGCACTGCCCATGGCCTGGGGACACGTGGAGGCCGTGGGGGTGGCACTTGAGGACAACATGGCTACCTGGACCTTCTTTGGGGATGCCTGGCGCAAGTGAGGCACTGGGAGCACTGGAAGGGCATGGGGAGGTGGGGCGAGTGGGTGCTGGTGGCACTGGGGCCTTGTGAGGCACCGCACTAGTGGCCCTGGTGGCACTGGTCACACCCGAAGTCTGAGTGTCCCCAGTCACTGGTCACACTGGTGGCACTGGTGCCCCTAAAGCTCTCTCCTAATCCTGGCTGCACACTGCACAGGTGTCCCTTGGTTTCACTGGTGGTACTGATGTCCCCACTGTGTCCACTGCCATGGTGCCCCCAGGGCTCTCAGTTGTCCCCAGTTGTCCCCAGTGTTCTCACAGGGGCCGCAGGGGCTGCTTGAGAGGTTGGTGGTTACTCCATTGTGACACCAATGTCCCCAGTGACATCAGTGTCCCCAGTGTTCCCAGTGATCCCAATGCCCTCAATAACCCCCCAAAGTCCCCAATGACCCCAATGTCCCAGTGATCCCGATGACCCCAACAACGTCCCTGGTGACTCCATTGTCCCCATGACCCTGCTGACCCCAATGTCCTAATGTTCCTGGTGACATCAATGTCCCCAGTGACCCCAATGTCCTCAGTGACACCAGTGTCTCCATGTCTCCAATGTTCCAAATCTCCCCAGTGATCCAAATGACTCCAGTGACCCCAATAACTCCATGTCCCTGTTAACCCCAATCTCTCCAGTGACCCATGTCTCCCCAGTGACCCAGTGACCCTGGGTTAACCCCAATCTCTCCAGTGACCCATGTCTTCCCAGTGACCCAGTGACCCTGTTGTCTCCATGTCCCCATAACCCTGCTGATCCCAATGTCCCCAGTGATCCCAATGTCCTTGGTGACATCAATGTCCCCGGTGAATCCAGTGTCCCCGTGTCCCCATGACCCTGCTGGCCCCAATGTCTTAATGTTACTGCTGACATTAATGTCCTCCGTGAC